CGGCTGTGACGGCCCGCCTCAGGAGGCAAGGCCGGGAGAAGGCGGAGGAGAGGTGCGCGCAGCTGGGCAGGGCAGGGCAGGGCCGGGCCCCCTCCCCTCCCGGCCTCCAGGTGCAGCTTCCCGAGCTGCGCTTCCCCGGCAGGCTGTGCCCCCTCGCCCCCGAGCTTCGGTGCCCGCGGCGGGACGGCTCTTGACGGGCTGGGCTGGGAGGGGAAGGCCTTGCCCCCAGCGCCGCCCTGCCCGCGGGCGGGAGTAGGGCGTCCGGTTTTGCTCCCCCTCGGTACAAGCGAGGGAGCAATACGCCGTAAGGAATGGAGTGGGGGGGACACCGAAATGGTAGGGGCTGCGGCGCGGGGTGTACAAGGAGAGGCTGAAGCGGTCGGTCAGCTTGGGGAAAAAGAGAAAGCTAAAAGAAATCCGCATGGTTTAGCTACTTGGGAGAGGATTTTAGAGAAAATAGAGGCAAACTCTACTCAGAACACAGTGAAGAAAAGCCCTACGCTGTAGCTTCCATTTCCTCTATCACAGATTATTTCACTTTAGTCGTATTCCTGCTGTTCTAAGCAAAACCCTAATTCAGTTAGAAAAAGAAACCGAAAATGGTAACTACAATGAAATTATTTTAACATCCTGTTTATTGAATAAGAAAATAGCTCTTATCCCCAGGACATTGGTGAGACCAAATGGTAGGAAACAATTTTCTTACTCACTGATACAATGACCACTTTCCTTGCAAATTATTTACTTATAGCAACATATGATGATTCCTGAACGTTGTCTAAGAATCCTGCTTGTCCAGACTTGTTTTGTGGATTCAGTGTAGTTTACCAGATAGTTTGGGCATTGGCTATGATAAGAAGTAGCAGGTAGCCCGGGGTTATGAATTAAAAAGACAACTCACCGATAGCAGAATCAAAGCCCTGAATGGGCACTTAGGCAAATTTAAACTTGAACAAAAGGACTCAGAGATGCTATCTAGGGAGGACGATCTTGCCGATTTAGGAAGAAGACACCTGGACTTTGCTTCACAGCGCATGCTCTGGAAAGAGCGGACACCGTGAAGAGGACCGCGTACTTCTCCCCCTGAATAATTATAATAATCACACCTATTCCCCGAACTAATTGTAATAACCTGGCCCTTCCTAATGAATATGTATGCTTTGGTGTAATAAATATTTGGCTACTTCTTGCTTGCTGTTTGTTTTAGAAAACACGTTTGGTGTGGGATTAGAAACCTGGTTGAGCATAAATCACCATTAGATGAAGACTACTGTGCTCGTGTCTGCCTCACAACAAATACATCAGATTTGTCTACTTCACCCCCAGCTCCTGACAATACTAGGGAGCAAAACTGGGTAAGATAGTAAATTATATCACACTACCTAACATCTCCTCAGCCCTGGTTATATATAAATGGATGCAATTGTCCCTTACTCCTCCCACTTTTAGAATACTTTGGTTTGTCTGAAGATTTATATTAGTGTGTCTATACACAAATAAGTGTATGTGTGACAAGATTTTTTTGTTTATTTTGAAATTTCCCGTCATGTTGATCTTTTAGCAGCAGGCATTTAGACTCAGCCCTCATGAAAAAGAATATCTCATGCCTCATTAAACCTCCTCTTACTAAAAAGCAGCTTTATTATTTTTGGAGGTTTCTCTTGTGAAAGGCCATGATCATACAAGGAGATGCATCTTCAGCTAGCACAGCAAGTTTTGATTTAACGGCAAAATCTATTAAGTTGATGTTGCATTCAGTAGACTCACTCGGAGGGAATGGACTTGGATGAAGATTTGTATGACCAATTTTCAGATACAGACTCAGATACAACTATATAACTAATTATAACACTCCTGGGCAAGCAATAGCAACTTACCCAGAACGAGTAAGTAGGGAGGGGTTCTAGCATGCCATCATGTCAGACACGAGGCAGTGAGCACATAAACTAAAATTAAATAATCAGAAAAAGTTCGTAAGTAGGACCCCTGTAGGGGTCTATATGGAAAGATGAGAGACGCCTCCTTTGGAGAGGCAGACCACCACTTCCAGAAATGGGAGCAGAAGGGGGTTGTAGCCTTTTTTTTCAGACAAGGAAAAAAACCAACCCAGAAGTGGAAGTCACTGGCCCCAATTCTCAAAGGTGGTTAAAGTATTTTAACAAAGTTTCTGGACTTAAGAGTATCAAACAGCTCTGAGAATCTAGACCACAGTGCCTTCCTGGCAAGAAACAATTTTTAATAGGAGACAAAAGATTCACTACAAAATTAATAGAGTCTAAAGAAATGCAGTTGATACTTTATACTTAAATTATACTTTTGTATAATATAGAAGATATATTTTGTAGCTTAATTTTTTATAGTATTAAAAAGAATAAACAAGTGGGGGGAATGTAGTAACAGCAGTGAGATGAGGCAGGTACATCTGCAGCCTCATCTAAGAAGGCATTTCATTAAAAAAGACAGATACAAGATTTGTATTTCTACTACAAAATTTAAAACCATCTGTTTAAAAAATCTGTTGGAAATGCAGATACTTAGAAAAGTTGTTTGCGAACTAATGAAAGATTATACAAGTGTCCAGAATAGGGATACCGCAATTCTTCAAGGAGCAGGTAAGCTTGACTCTAAAGATTGCTTTTGTTACAGGAGAAGACATGTTTTCAAATTGCTAAAGGAAAGATATAATGGGTTTTAACAGGACAACAGAAAAATCAGAATAGCAATACTGATTAGGAAGAAAATGAAAGCTTTTTGAAAGTGAATGACTAGACAATATTAGAGGCTGTTAATTAGTATTCCTTTCCCAGGTGTGTGAATGAATGCCAATGTCTTCATGGTGATTTACCTAGAACATCTTACCTCTGCAGCACAGAAAATGTTTCTCCCAACCTAATATTCATTAGAGAGCAGGCTGGGTTATCAGATTCATCATCTTCTGCAGTAATGGTTCGACCAATTCAGATGGAAACACCACAGAGTAAGGCAGCTATACACATTGCATGAACAACAGCCACAGCAACTACTGAGTCATCTGCACTTTTGATTTTGGAAGTTACCTTGTGAGAAGCTGCAAATTCCAAATCCCACCTGCTGCACTGCTGCTCTGGCTACATGTTTGAAATCCATCTGAAACACAGTTATCTTCCTCCTTCTTAAAGATTTTATTCCTAGGCAAGCCAGGAGCTCAGAAGAACCTGACTAGGGGTTAGAAATCTGTATATAGGTGTTGCTCTAATTTGATGAAGATATATTTTCAATTTGTAATGAAGTAATTTGTGTGAAGCTTAAGACTCTATGTGATTGAATGGTGCATGTGGAAATGGAAACAAGGCATTCCTTGAAATGCTGTAAGAGGAAATTGGTACAGAGGTCCTTGAAATATTGTAAAAAGAAGATGTGTGCACAGGTTACAGGAGTCACAGACCAGCCTCTGCAAAGAGGGGAATAAAGTCACCATCACATCTATATAATGTCTTACCAAGGAACAGTCATATTCTGCAGAAATGTATTAGCATGATTTTAATTCATAATCAAATTGCAAGGTGAGAATTTTCCTCTAGGGTATAGCAGAGGAAAAAAAACAAGATACAAACAAAACATTAGTGAATGCATGGCAATTGCACTAATACATAACTGTCAGTTACAAGGCATCTTTACCAGAAGGGAGGATACAAAGTGTTCACATTTAGGTTATTTAATTAGAACAAGTAATAGTTATAATCATTAGAATAATATTATTTTCCATGGGTGCTTAAATGAGTTCCCTGAAGATCCCCTGCATCATCTTCCAAGAAAAAAAAAAATACAAGCTCTCCAGCTCCAAATGCACAGATTCTTAAAACCAGGATGTATATACCACACCCTACCCTTCTCCAGTAATGGGACTGGCAGTCTCTAGTGAAGATGACATCTGTGAGCAAATGTGACAAGGAGACAAGCAACACAAGAAATACAGCTAAGCCATGAAAAGAAACCAACACAACCAGCCTAGCTGCTCTGTGATTAGAAAACATGTTCCTTCTTCCTACTGAGCTGTCTACTTTCCCTTCCACCCAAATCCACAGGATGCTGTGATGCGAAGATACATACACATGCTTACGTTTCTGCTTCTACAGTTTCATTATGTTACAGGACCTGTAGGCATGTTCTGTTAGCACAGTAAAAAGGCACCAAACAACTTTCAGGTATAACTGAACCAATGGCAACCTGGAGAATACAAGCCACAAGCACAAGAGGGACAGTTTTCAAGCTGTCAGAGGCACGGTGAAAGTCATTGTACCATACAGGAATTTCTTTCATCAGACAATCAATCAAATATGCTTTCCTGAAAAATCCTTAGAAAGTTATTTCCTGATGTTTTAGAAGCTGCTCAAGAGATGAAAGACTCACATTCTCAACTCCCAAACTTTCTGTCTTCATTGTATGTGAAGTCACTTCTATGACACATCCAAGGTCCCAGTTATGCCACTCAAAATGAGTACTCAACTCTGAGTAAGGTGAACTCAAAATCTTAACATGTAAGATAAAGAGGTAAAGAAAACTGCTACAAGATGTAGCCAGGAGTGAGTCACTAAGGCTAAAGATATTAAAGTGGAAACCAGAGTAATGTTCAAGTTCAGAGGGTCTGGAAAGAAACACAAATTAAGACCAATCTCACTGTTTGCCCTTTCAATTTGGTAACGTT